ACTTTCTTCTTATAAGTGTAAAAGCAAAATCAAAGACAAAAAATAGAAATGTTTATTTCACCAGGGTTACCCCTACATCCTCAATATGTGTGAAACATGTTATAGTTCAATTCAAGGTAGTACATCGTCTACACTGGTCTAAGGACAGATTGTGTAAATTCAAAAGAGACTTGGATCCGACGTGTGATCATTGTAAACAATCCCCTGCCACACTTTTACACACATTCTGGTCCTGTCCAAAACTACATGGATACGGCAAGGCATCTTTGATACCTTTTCAGGACTATTTGGACGAACTGTTCATCCATCACCACTCATCTCTCTCTTTGGGGTGGCTCCAGCAGAGGCTTCCTTCAGTGAACATCAGAGGACGGTGTTAGCTTTCTGCTCTCCACTGGCTAGAAGACTTATTCTTCTTCGTTGGAAGGATCCACATCCTCCAGTATATGGTCATTGGTTAAGAGAAGTTATGTCTTACATTCATTTAGAGAAGATTAGATATACTGTTAGGGGATCTGTAAACAAATTCTTTGATATTTGGCAGCCATTTATATCTTATGTAGAAAAATTTCAGCAGATAATTGTATATATATAAAGAAGACGACTATATTAAGTCTTTCCTTGGATGGAAGGACAAAATGTGCCTGGATTTAAACCATTAAAGCATCAAATTTATTAAATTTAAAAATCAACAAGAAGAGGAAAGTGTTTAAAATGTTGTCAGGACATCTGTGGTAAATGATTATTTGTTTTTGTTTTTTTTCAGGTTTGAAGTGTATTGTCACCATGTCTGACACTGAAGAAGTGTAAGTAAATGCCATTATCAGCAGCTGTCTGAAGTCGTCCGTTAGTTTCATTTTTTACAAAAAAAAAAGGAAAAAAGAAAAAGAACTAATTTTTTGTGTCTTTTCATTTTTCAGGTATGACGGTAAGCAAAAACCATCTAGCCTGTTTTATTTATTATATTTTTACATTTATGAAACTGTACAGTAGATCAGGTGTGATTTTGTTCAAAATTATTTCATTTTTGTCAGCTTTATGTTTCAGAGTTTTTAACCAAATTTTAAAGTTACCTTGCAAAAAAGGATTTTTTTCACAGGTTTTGTCTCGTAGGTTTATTAATCTCATACACAAAAATGTCAAGATAAATAATTATGAACAAAATATAAGTGCAATTTTTCTAACTGATTTTGTTGTTCAACTTTTTTTGCAAAACTGAAGAGGAGGAAGGTAACGATGACTAATTTGATGTTGATTTTTTTTCATTTGCACTAATTAATCAGCTGCTTATCACTCCTGACTTAAAGTGTTTAATGCTGACACAAGCTGTTTCTATTCAAAAACACTAACTGGGTTTTCAGCTAAATTTGATCAGAGCAAATGGAGCCAGTAATAACGTTCATAGAAAAATATTGAATGTTTTGTTACAGAAACAGCTGCTTTAAACCTGGGGTCATGCTCAAAGAACAAAACTATTCTAACTAACTGAATTTGAACTAATTTCTGGCTGCCAGTTAAACACTTCAAAGTGAAGGGTGATTTTCTTTTTTACTGAGTGATATTTTTACTCCCATGGTTAAGTAAAAAATGTAACTGACTTTACATTTATTTTCTAACCATGTGAACATATTTACAATGTCATCTGTTATTGTCAGTACTGCTGTCATTGATCTGATTCACACAAAACAACATATTTTAAACAAATGATGTTGGAAACTACTTTGGAAGATGTTTCTGAATTTTAAAATAACTCAAGATATAACAAAAGATGGAGTAATTAAATCTTTTTACCATTCTTAGCTTGTTGTTAAAAGTTTTTAATGTCTGAAGAAATTATTAGAACGACTGATGAGCTACTAGCTTTAGCTAACGAGCGAGCACACCAGTAGCAAATGGCATTAGCTCGTAAAGTAATATAATATAAAAAGTATTTATTTTATGAACAGTGCTTGGTATTTTTAAACATTAGCATTTGCTTCCTATATAATTCAATTAAATTCAAAAGTACATTATTATATGTTATTAAATAATAGTAAATTTAATATAAGTTGCTTATAAATTGAATAAAGTCCAACTGAGTTAGTTCACATAATTTTAAATATTTCATTTTAGAAGCTTCTAGTAGATTATTAAGGAAGTTTTGAACAGTTATAAATACAAAACTATAATTAAATTTGTTGAGTAACATTACAAAAAAACCTCACAATTTTATTAATTGTATAAAATAAAATTTTGCAAAACATTTTGCTATTTACAAACAAAACCTGTAGGTTTATATTTGTATTTTAAAAAGGTAATATTGTTTCAATAATGTTTGTTAAACTAAACAAGCTAAACTGTGTGATGAGGGGCACGGTAGAGGTGGTCCATAGTGTGGGCTCGTAGTCCTGAGAGGTTTGAGGCCAGGTTGTTTCAAGTAGGACGTAAAAAACAGATAAATCTTTATAAGATTTCTTGCTGTAGGGACTTCTGCAAAGTCAGCGGCTGAAAGAAAAACAACAAAACTATTTTAATGCTGAAAAACGTTTAGAGCACTTTCATGGCTTTTGTCTGTTTTTTGTTAAAACCAAAAGTTACACATTGCTGTAATTTAATTATGTTCCCATGAGTGAACTGTTTCTAGATTTTAAATATGTCGCAAACAGTTTCAGATAAAAAGAATATCTTCCTTCACTCTAAAAGCCTCTAAAAATCCTGTTTTAAATTAGTTTTAAACATTGTAAAATATAGTTTTGATGTCCATTCTCCCAGTAGTTTTACACATCAGCTGTTGAATATGGAATCTGTGTGAAAGGTCAGTCGAGGTTTTATCACCATCACCTGTTTCTCTTTCTGTCCTCCAGCAGTGTCCTTCACTCATCCATTCATTTTCTCTGTAACTACAGTTAGTCTCACATTAGGTTTCTAATGGCTCTGTCGTGTTTATGGTTTCCCCACACTTCTCCCACACCCTCCACTCTGCACAATGGTGTGCGATGCGTGTCCGTAGCCCAGGAGGAGGTAGTAGAGGTAGAAGTAGCCCCTGAGGCGGAGGCCCAGGTAGAAGCAGAGCCAGAAAGAGAGCCTGAACCAGAACCAGAACCAGAACCAGAGCCAGAACCACAGGAGGAGGTTCAGGAGGAGGAAGGTATGTGGCACAGGCAGTCCATTTCATTTGTTTTCTGCTGGTCCTCCAGCATTCTGCCTACATAAACCAGTTTGTCCTCTGAAGCAAATTGACCTTAAAGAAGCACCTGAAACAGTAATTTACATGTTTAGTCATTTTTATATATTAATTTACAAATATTCACAAAACCAAAGTTGTACCATGGGTTTATTCTTCTTTTATTAGGTAATTTAAAAAAAAACACTCAAATTTTTGCACTTATTTACATATACTGTACCTCTGCAATGTAAGTAATAACAATAGTTTCCTTAATGAGGCTGTTAATGTGACGTCTCTTATATCAATAAGAACTGAATTCCTTCCAATACTTTCCCCACTTTTCTAAAGGTGGTTTAAGTTGTCCTTATGATGACATTTTAAAAGCACACGTTCACTGCTCTCCATTATTCTGATGGCCACTGTGCCCTGGTCATGTTTACTACCTCTCTGATGCTTTGCTTTAACATTTTGCATAAACAGACATGGATTTATAATACAGGTGGATTCATTGAACACATCAATTCAAAAGAATGTTTGAAACTTTAAAATACCAACAAATAATTCCCACTGTTCAAATTCTCTCGTGATTTCTCTGTAATTTGCTGCAGCAGTTTTTCATACTGAGCTGTTGCTGTTTTGTGCTTACATGATGTTACTCTCACATTGCTTCTGTTGAGGACATGTTTGCTTAGAGCTGGGAGGAAAATTAATGTGCAAACATTTCAAAATTCAATATAGATTTGTACTAAACGCAAGTTGTCCAACTTTCTGCTTAGCATGTTGCTATATTTTTTTAATTTTCACAATTTACAGATATTGCACATTTTCAAATAATAAAACATTATATTTAGCCTTACCTAGCATGCTCCGGAGTAAAAAATTTCTTTAGAGTTATCACATGAACGATTTGCCATCAGTGTTTGAGAAGAAAAAGCATTTATCCTGTTTCTGACATTATCTTTCACTGTCATATATGTTTTAAGTATGATCTGTGCATAAATGTCAAAAGGGAAAAGAAGAAACGTTGCTGCCTTTACATGAATCAGTTGCCCTTTCTCATCCATGGCCGATTCATTTTAATGACTCGTTTTATCATTGACCATTATCATTATTTGGGCTAATTCATGTGTGTCTCTTATTACAGGCCATAGCATTAAGGATGATGGGTATTTTCATGTCATGTAAAGCCAATTCTTTGCCTCCCTTTAGTCCATGTTTAGCTCTTTATTTTTCAGTGTATAGAGTGTTATTGGCCGTTTGCTACAAAGCATTTACATGTRGGGTTGTGATGCACAACATTAATTCTCATTCTTGCAAATATCGTCTTGAAATTTATTCCAATTCTGTGTTTTAAAAGGAGTGACAGCAGAAGACCCAGGCTTATGTGTCTGCTTTATGAACTAATGCTAATGCTTCTTTGTCCTTGTTTTTGCAACTGCTGGTAAAAAAAAAATCTCAATCTGCTTTGATTCATAAGTGATGAAGTGGTTAGTGTTGCTGACTGAAGACAAATCTTTTAGACGATCTCTACTGCAGGACCAGGTTTTATTCACAGCTAAAGTTGAGGTTTTGTACACAAAATAGGACAAAATGAGTCATCAGTTGTAACCACTGCTGTATAAAGTACCTGATACTTGAGTAAAAGTACAAGTATCTTATCGTAAAATTACTTTGGTAAAAGTTAAAGTCTCCTCTAAGAATATTACTTGAGTAAAAGTCTTAAAGTATCTGATTTTTTTTTTGCACTTAAGTATCAAAAGTAAATTTCTGACATAAAAATGTACTAAAGTAGTAAAAGTAAAAGTATTGATTGAAAAAGAGTAGTTAGATTTTCCGCAATGACATTAATTGGGAGGTGACTGTTTTTAAAGGCATGCAGATTGTTAAAAAAAATAAGCAGTGTTCGTTACCCTTTACCTGTTCAGATCTAATAAAAAACTATACAGTGTGCAGTGTCTTTAAAAGTCAGTAGGAAACAACCCCAATAAATTTCTTCAATTCCCCTTTCCACATGACAACCAGTCATGTGAACATTAAGGAAATTTATAATCAAAAACCCTGTATGTTCACATTTTTAAAGGCATGCAGGTGATGGATTGTGAACAAACTAATACAGTCAGAATTGTTTATGTTCTCATCCAACCAAAATTAAATTCACTTTATCCAGGAGGCACAGTTTATCATGATAATATATTTTTAACAACAATGAGCCAGAATGAAATAAGAGTAAAATGTAATGAGTAGAAAGTACAGATATTCATGTAAAAGTAAAAAGTAGGCTAAAAAATAATTACTCAAGTCAAGTACAGAAAACCAAAATCTCTACTTAAGTACAGTAACAAAGTATTTGTACTTAGATGCTTTACAACTCTGGTTGTAACTCAAAAATATAAATAAAAATTAAAAAAATTAAAAATCCCTGAAAATATTTTCTGACTTTTATAGTTTTAACTTTTACTCATCTCACATTTGGGAAAGCTGAGTGAAGGACACAAACCAAAGGCTTTTTTTAACTTCTTATTTTAAAGTCTCAGTTTGRCTCKCATCAGATAATTGCTTCCATATGATTTGCAATGTAACTTGGTGACAGAAAACATGATTAAAGTCAAACTTATTACCATAAAGCTAATAAATTACTTTGTTGTGCTCTGTTGTGTTGATCTGAAGTGTTATCCATAGAAAATATTGACAGACAACAAGGTTTATTAAACTTTCCTATAGAAAAACAATCAGAGCAAATGTTATCAGTCTAAAGCACTTTCCCTGTATTGGTGAAAAATCCTCAGGTAATATTTATCATGCAGTCAGAAATATTTGAACCACAACCAGAAACTTTTATTAATATTAAAGGCCTAGCATTCCTTGAAAGAACGCATGTCACCCACTTCAGGTCAGACATTTAAGATCATCTTTAAAGAGAATAAAAAATTGTAGCTGTTGTGGTTTTTACTTTCTGCGTAAAACCACCTGTCCTTGCCCCACTGACATCTATATCTTCCTATTTATACCCCTTTTACGAGACGTGTCAGCTCATTTAGTCTCTACAGTCACCACTTCAAGGACAAATGGACTGTACTTATAGCACCTTTCTATCCATCCAGAACACTCAAAGCTCTTCACACTACAATCTGTGTCCTCATTTACCCATTCACACAGCACTCTATTAGGTCTCTACCAAGCTAACATGTACTGTACAATCATCTATGGAGACTAATCAGTGCCAATCACATTCATACACTGATGGGACACACATCAGAGGCATTGGGGTTAAGAATCTTGCCCAAGGACACAACATCTGAGACAGCTGGATGGGGGATCGAACCGGTGACCTTCCGGTTCCAGGACAACTCCCCTAAACACTCAGCCACAAGGCTTAGAGCAGTTTTTAATAGTCTTAACGGTCTAATTGGACAACTAAATCTAATCTGAGCTTTTTCTTTATTTATAATATTTGTACAAGCTTGTTGAAATATAAATATTTCTTACAATAAACTACAAAATTTTTTGTGCAAAAATGATTTTACAAAGTTTATTTGGTAGAAATCTATTAATAGTGCAAAGTGAATAAAAGTCTAAAATGCTCTAATTTAGGTCTTACATAAGGTGAGTCCATGTTAAAATCAGGAGGACTAATCAGGATCTAACGACCCACAATATTACTGAAACACGTCTAGTGTACCTAATATAAGACAACACTGGTAGGAGAAAATATATTTTTCTTCATCTCCTCATAACTGGTTTAAATCTGCTTATCTCCACCTACTGTATAGGTGTGTGTGTGTTTTTACAGTGTGTCAGTGGAACTAAATAGATGTAAACTATACAAACACAGCCAAAAAAAAGTAAATAAAGCCTTTAGAAAAATTTAGCAAAATAAAAGTTATGATTTTATTGTTGAAATGTAGTGGAGTAAAAGTAAATTCTTTACCAAAAAATTGTTACTCAATTCTCAAAACCTGTACAAAAGTACAGTACTAAAGTCAATTTACCTTGATACTGCCCACCTCTGGTAGTGAGTCATAATAAAGGGAAAGTGCTGCTTGCAGTCTTGCTGCAGACTCATGCCATGACAAGGGTCTTGTGTGGTGACTTCCAGTATGAACACCCCAACATGTAAATGCTGAAGCTATGCATTGTGAAACAAAGGCACACACGCTGTTCWGTCTGATCATTAATGATCTCTGTTCTGCTCTTGCTTTGGACGCTTGCTGCATGCAGAAGCCTATGAAGAGGAAGGTATGTGGATTTGAATTCTTCTTTGTTTTTCTGATAAAAGCTTTTGTGTTTCCCTGTTCAACGAGGGAGTCAGTCTGTTGCACATTTTATGCATTATGTTGTTTGTCACTGATCCTTCTTGGGAGAACAGCAGAATGAATATGTTGGCTTCAGTCTCTGGCTCAGTCCACCAAGAAGGGCATGACATGATGGATCAGGGCAAAGGATTCAGAAGTGATAAGTTGGAGTTCAGGGCCCCACAGCTCATGTCTGCTTCTTTTCTTTTTTGCATGAATGTGTCCTGCCAGGGGAGGATGGTAAGATGGTAGTTTATATTTTAGCTGAGTCGCTGTTGCCTGGTCTGATGTTCCTCCCTGTTTTGTCTTTTGTAAAATATATTTATATATATATTTTAGTGTGGGGGTCACAGAGTCAAAGTCTAATCAAACACTTCCCTATCCTATTTCTGTCTTTATTTTGAAAATAATAACAGTTTACACGTTACCCATTGTGAAAAGTGTGCACTGATGTACTCTATGCTTGAAAACTTTAACTATGACATTTTTTTAGTAACGTCTATACAACAGCAAACTGATCATGAATAGCATTTTTTAAATGCCTTGGATGATATTGCTCTGATTTACATACTAATTCAAACAAATTAACAATAAAATATTGTTTGGCAACATTAGTATCATTTTTTGTTTTTTATGAAAGTGCAGAGTAATAGTGCTTCAGTAAGAATATTGTATATAAGAATAAAGAAAATTTGATACCATCCATAGACATTTCAAAGAACGAGCTAAGCATATTAGCAGTACTACAACATTAAATGACAGGAAAGCTCTTAGCACAAAGCTAAGCTAATTTGCTAACTGTAGCTCAAAGTTTCATTTTTTCAGGTGTTTATGCAAGATAACAAATTACCTTATTTCCAGTAATATTTCTGTTTTTATTCAAGTTTATGTTTTTTTTTTATTCCCGTGATGTCAACCAGCATTGCTGTGTTTAAAACAGAGGCTAACACAATCTTCAGTTCTGTTGTTGGAAAGTAGCTAAAACTAGAACTCACTCTCACAGTACTACTGAAGTTGTGACCAACATCCCTTCATCCTTGACTCTATAGATTTTCTGACTGTATTTTATTTGTTCTCTTTTTATTTTTAAACCAGAAGAGAAGCCCAAGTTTAAGTAAGTACACAAAGATCGCTTTGACATGGCTACAAATTCAGTGACTGGTTTTGTTTTGTTCAACTTTACTGTTAACTTCAACAGACCCAGTGCTCCAAAGATCCCTGATGGAGAGAAAGTGGATTTTGATGTAAGTTTATAACACAGCAGTGAAAAGAGAGGAGAAACACTGTTACAATATGTGGGTGCCATGGCAAAGGGGAAATACAGAGGGTAAAATAGTGAACACGTCACCATTTTTCTCAGTAAATATATTACTAGAGGTGCTAATGACATGAAATTTTCACCAGATGTCGGTAACAACCCAAGTGATCTATACATACAAAGAAATCAAACCATAAATGTCCAGAAATGAAGTTATTTGTAATAATGTGGAATGGCACAGGGAAAAAGTATTGAACACATAAGGAAAGGGGGGTTCAAAAAGGCATGGAAAGGCAAGACACCAGCTGAACTCTCTCAGTAATTAGAAAGCAAGCCTGCCTCTTGTCAGTGCAAGTT